GCAGTGATCTGTCTGTTATTCCCAGTAGGAATGTTTCTGGGTGCATAGGTATTTTTAGCTTTAATATTTTTTGTAAATATTAACAATGACTTTCAAAGTAAGTACCAAACAATTAAAAAAGAAATAACACTTTCAAACTATGAACATTTTTCCCGAATTACACATAGTGTAATATATTAAAAGAAAATCTGTAAGCATCATTATCACCAAGGGGCAACTCTTCTGCAATCCAAAAAAAGTTATATATTTTCCTGAGGAAGGGGGATTTCACATTTCCCATCCTTTTTCAAGCGTTTGAGCAACAGAAGGATAAGACAAAAACTACATCATTCTCACTGTAAGGTAATACAGCTAAACCAACATTTATTTTTGCTGGCATATTTTGAAAAAAAAATCTTTAATTTATTTAATAATGATTCAGTCCTGCTATCTCTGGTCTCTCTGTTGTAAAATTTTTTATTGCACAACCTGAATAGAGAAAAGGGATACCTCATTTGCAAGTCTCTCTGTTTACATTGAAAGGCTGCACCTAAACTGCGTATCTATCCTTTCTGAAGCCTTCCTTTGATCTCACACCAACCAGGTGACAACTTGAATTATGGATAAGGGAAGAAACACATCCACTCAATCCCATTTATTTATTTGCACAGAGCATCTATGCCTGATGAAGAACCTCACACAGTTCAAAAATTTCTAGAGGATCTTTAAGCACTCAAAGGTGTGCTAACAAAAGATACTGAAATGTATTTCTTTTAGAAACTTTCCAGTAATTCGATTCATCCGAAATCATTGCTATTCTCTGTCTTGTTTTCTTCCATTTCACTCCTTCGCCAACACGGCCACAACTGTTATTTTAATTGTCTCCCTCTTACCACCACATTTCTTTTGTAATGATTTGATCACAACCTGGAGTGTTTTCCATCTGCCATCAGCAGCTTTCAATTCATATTTTCCCTAAAAGGATATCTTGAATTTCAGTCCACTGGGTATCCTGGTTCTTCGATCACGGATTATATTTCTTTTGGCAACAATAAATGCTTCATGACAGCTTACTTACTAATGCTTACTTTTTTTTTCCAAACTGCATGCTTCTCACCCTGCAAAGCTTCAACTATTACCTCAAGGGCCCCTTCCACACAGATGAATAAAATCCCACATTTTATGCTTTGAACTGGAATATATGGCAGCGTTGTGCTGGTACGGCTGTACCAGGAGCTCCAACTTTATTTTCTTTCTGTAATCT